ACTAAATTTAAGTTTTGTTGTTGCTAATGTTATTATTTATATACATTTTGAAGATAATGTAATGCTGCTTTATAAAAATTAAAGTTTTTATCATGATATAAAATAGCTAAGCTTTTAGTTTGTAAATCAATTTAGCTCACTTTACCCTTAATTTTTCTGTCTATTGGAGAAATTTTCTTGAAATTTATTTCAGAAATATAATATATTGAAATAATGCCAAGAAACTACATTAAGAAATAAGAATCTCGAAGGAAAACATATGCACCTAATTTGGTATCACATATCTGATTCTCATACCTAATTTGGCTAATTGCTTATTTTTGATTGTCATATGAGTCATATTTCTTTAGAAACAATTGAAAATTATATAACTATTTTGTATTTGCCAGCATACTGTTTGCATCTGCTACAGCCACTTGATGTGGGAGTCTTTCGCCAAGTTAAATATGCATGGCATGAAATTCTGACTAATTGGTATACCGATTCAGGCTGAAGGTAGTTGGGAAATCTGGTTTTCCATCTTTACTCAAAAAATTTTATGATACCTCTTTTAAACTAGCTTATTTAGTAAAATCATTTGCCAAAACTGAATAATTTTTTCTTGATCCATCTGCTATACCATCTGACAAGTTAACTTCTTCTGAAATCTATAAACACCCTTTTTCTCAGTAAGCAAATATTTATGACAATAAAATCCCTCGAAACATCACTTTGAACACCAATGGCACTAATTAGAACAATACTTATGCAATTTTTTTTATTGAGAAGTTAAAAAGCAAATAAAATTCTTACAAAATTATAACATCATTTGACAAAAATTTTGGAATAAAAAAAATAACTTTGACTAATTATATCAGATGTAGATTATTTTAATAGAAACAAAACCATAAAAGAAATAATGAGAGAGTTAATGGCCACACAGTGAAAGAACACTTAATGGCCACAAAGGGTGATGTTTGTTCATACAACGAGCAACCTACGGAAAAAAAAAAAAAAAATTATAGAGCTGAGTGTCTTACATCAGATGATGCGTTTAAAAAATTAAACGATGAAAAAAATAAAGGCTTTAAAAGAAAAATCAACGAGCAAGGCAATATACAAAATAAAAATAATAATTTATTAAAAATAGCAAATACAGAAGAGTTAAAGATGAAGTATTTTTATTTACCCCAATGAGAGGGTGAAGTGAACTTAAACATGTTTTTTTTTTTTTAATATATGTTTAGTATTTTTATAATAATTTTTAATCTTAGTAATTTGTTTCATGTTATACCTAATACTTCAAATTGTATAAATTTTAAAAACTGCAAGAAGTAAGGCTTTTTTTCTGAACAATTTTCTTTTAATTTTAGAAAACAGTTCACATTACCCAAGTTTACTCTTGGTTTATCAGGAAGCTTCCTGATAAACCTACTGATGGTGAAATAATTTATTGAAGAAAAAAATTATATAACTGTTTTTACTATTTTTGTATGGCTCTGTTAATTAAGAACATTGAGCATTCTATTTCTTGAATACACTATTAGATATATATAAATCGTTCAACTTATGCTTCTCGGGAAAAAAATTATATAATTTTGTCGCTATCAAATATACTAAACAAACAAAACGAATATCTGTTTATGATCGACTTCTCAAATGTCACAACAGCGGACACAATTTCTTGTTTTTACGTTTTAATATTTTTAACATTTTTTAATGTTTATTGATATTTTTAACATAGTTTGTTGTTGTTTTTTTTTAAATCAAAAACTATAATTTTTTTAGGTTCAAAAACTTATTTGATTTGCTAACAACTAAATGAAATTTAAATTTATTTTGCATTTAAATAATATATAGCACATATGAAGACCTATCCCCACGGCACGATTATCTACATTTTTCAAAACCATTGCGATTTTTTTCTTTCTATTCCGTTAAAAATTAATTGTATTGCTTGAAAGCACGAAATAAAACTGATATAAAACCCTCTTTTATTTACAAAATAAGTCTTAGTTTTAACTAACTTTATGATCTAAATCAAGTCATAAATGATGAAAGGATATTTTTCAACGTTTTTATGTGACATGCCTGAAATTTATTTTTTTCAAATATATCAGAAGCGTTTACAATTGATGTTGATTTATTAAACTTATTAGAAAAAATTAGTCCATGGTTTTAAAAATCTATAAGATTCTATCAATTAACATATCTGGACTAAAGCCTTCTAAAAAAATATGAATTTCATTTTTTATATTTAGTAAAAAAAATGTTTTTAATAAATATAAAAAATGAAAATTTTTTAAAATAAAAAATTTTCATTTTTACTAAAATGAAAATTTTTATTTAGTAAAACTTTTTTACTAAATATTTAATTTTTTTGAAAAAACTGAACAGATTAATAAATTATTTACTTTATAAATTAAAATGTCACGAGATTCAATTTTTTTTTCTTTTTTCTTTTTTTTTTTTTTGTATGTATGTGTGACAAGTTACTATGTAATCTGACCATAATAGCAAA